ATGAATATAGCCCTGGCCTATCCCAGAGAGAGGCAGACTCTGACTGCATTCTGGGAGACTGTATATATGTTCTAAAGCACTGCGTAAACTGTTGGCGCAATATAAATCCTGTATAATAATAATAGTACTCAGTGAGCACACTGAGCTCTTGGTCTTTTCCTGGAGAGGATTAGTCCATGCTGGAGGGGGCATGCTGTCCTTCCAATCAATGCTGCCACACGTCTGCTGTTGTGAGGCACAGTGGGTGACCTGAGGGCCTGAATGCCGAGACCTGGGTACTACTAATAGCTGACTGAGGGGCTGTCTACTGAAGATCTGGTCTGGTATCACGGGAGAAGGCAGCCAGCTGTCCTTGGGTCTTGTGAATACAGACACTTCTGATGGAACTTAGAGACTTTGTGCTGTAAATACTGTAAATACCCCCCTCTGGTGATAGAGAGTCAGCTGTGGGTTTAACTAAAGGAGACAACGGCTGTCCTGATGAGCTTTGTCCATCTAATCTTCTACTTGAAGAGACTCTGCTCTTCTGGCTCTAAAAAGAGATTTATAGCTAACTACCCTAAAGCTGAAGTCTACTGTTTTCTACAAGCACAGACTTTAATATAGCTTGCTCTGAAGAATACCTAAGTCCTCAAGTTCTATATAGTTCTTAATTTGAGAGTATCCCAGCTAATTCGCTCAGCCCTATCCAAGTTCTCCAAAAATAAAAACAACACCATAGACTGGTTATTGGAGAAATGTGTGAATGAGTCTATGGGCCTGATTGCAGGCAAAGCTTATGGGGGAGGCCTGGACAGTATTCCTGCTGCTCCTACAGGAGTAGCGCTACACATAGATTCGAATAATCGCACATATTTGGAGCATTGTGCAGTCAGTAACAATTAATCACTACTACATTCTACGTGTGTGCCCCATTCCATAGAGAGACATTTGTTTTATGTATTTATAAACTGCTACTCTTACCAATAAATTGCTAGTGATTATAGTAGTCATATAGCTCTACTAATGATTGCCACATTAAATATAAGAACTGCAGTGACTTGAGTAATCAATCATGCAATACAAATGTGACTGAGGCCCCAACCCTTCCACATTCCATCCAAAACTAAAAAACAAAAAGAGGTGAAAGCAGCACCGTCACCTTGTGGATGGTTATGACAGCAGATATTCTCAGGTGCTATGTTGTAATTGACAAGCTTTTGTCTATTAGCAACCATTTGTATGAGACACTAAGCCCTGGATCATGCTGGTGCGGCTTCAGGAGCGACATGCGATTTACAAATCACACCCAAAGTCACATCCAATATATTTCCATGGCACTGTCTTAATCAGTGCGATCTGAAGTAGCATGATTGCAGGTAAAAAAATGTGCAGTTATTATTTTTGTCCAAAGGAGCCTGGAAAGCATTGCACCAGCAATCAGTAGATCAATGATGCAATGCAGGTCTCCTGCAGACCTGCCAGAATATCTGCTTGCCATACGGGATGTATGGCCACATAGATATTTTGACAGGAAGCTTCAATGAACTATTATGGCGCTCCACAGTGCCGTGGTAGTTCATTGAAAAACTACAAGCCAACAGCCGCTAAGACTGTCGGGACTTGCAGTTCATTCATTCAGGAAGTCCGGGCCCCGCACGGCTGTGCTGTTTTCAAATCTGACAGATAGTACGGGGAAACTTCTCCCCATACTGTCAGAGGGTGGGGGGTGAAGCTGCAGTCATGGGGACATGTTACATATTCCACCCTAAAAACAAGTAGAACATGTAACATGTTCCAAAGGTGAACTTATCCTTTAAGCATCTAAATTTAATTTGGTATCAGCCTCTTGTAATCCCCTTTACGGTAGCACTCATGCTAGGAGAGGAACTGGCAGCATAAAGAGAATCAGATAAGTTGCAGGGCACATGTGCTAACAATGAACATTCAGACATAACAATAGAGTAAAGTGAGCGGAGGGATGAGCTCATCAGTCTTCTGCTGCTCCATCACTGTCCTATCACAGACTGGGGGCATGAAGGTGTATTGATAAACTGCAGGAAAAATCATTTGGTTGTGTGGTCTGGAAGGTCTAGAAAAGTTCAGTATTGGATAGCCTCAATTTCAAATCCATTGCCAGGTAAAACAGACCACATTTATGTATTTCAGCTGGATATGAAGCTGTTTGCCTGGAGCTAATCTGTTGCCACTGTAAGTAGAAGAGGGGGCAACCAAATAAAGTAATGAAGCACGTATATTATGACTATGTAGCCACTCATATCTAAAGACAATTGTGCTCTAAGAAAACCCAGAACATATTGTATAAAGTAGACTCTCTTCCATTGAAAAGCTAGACGTGAAATTGCCTTGACCAGATTTAAAAAATGCATAAAATGTTTCATTGTTATCTGTCCTGTCCTACCCATGAAACTAAATACATTTCTAAATGCTGTGACATTTGAAATCTGAATTCCTGGGGCAGAGCTTGGTGTTGGAAGGGAGCCGGGCATTATGCCAGTTTGGTTAAAGTCTAAGCCATGCGTACAGTCTGGGGTTGAATCTAGAGTAGGCATCACTAAATGGCAGAAGTGGTCCAGACCAGGGGCGGACTGACCATTTGGAAACTGGGGCACTGCCCGAGGGCCTGGGGTCAGTGGGGGGCCCCATGAGATGCCCCTGGCACCTTTTTCATAGGCTTTTTTGAGTTTGGGCAAGGACACAGGGGCCCCATGATCCCCTATTGGCCAGGGCCCCATGAGTTGTCAGTCCACCCCTGGTCCAGACCCAGACAGTCGCTGTCCCATCCAGACCACGATGGTCACACCATTTAGGAGCCAGTTTCTTTCCTCCAGCCTCCACCGCTGTCATTCTCATAGCAATGTGGAGAGCGGGAGACAGAACAGTTCTGGACAGAGATTGGAAGGCACAGCAGCACTGGATGAAGGGCGGGAGTGGGAGCTGCCTGAATTAACTTTCAAAGTTAACCAGCAGCTGATTGGTTAATAGTACGCAGGGAAGTCCTGGCAACCAGTCACCAACTTGTTAATGTGAAAATTTTACTTGGACAGCTCCTTCTCCCACCCTCTATCCAAGTGCTGTCATGCCTCCCACTCTCCACTCTGTGTACCTGTGTAAGAGGGTGAAAGGGGGCAGAGGAGCTGACTTTGAAGGATGGGGGTGTTGGGTGGTTTTCATGTGAACAGAGGTTCAGAGCACTAATGTGAAAGGGGTGGAGGGATGATTTAAAGGGGGGTTGAGGACACTGCTGTGATATGAAAAAGGGGGCAGAGGATACTGTGTAAGCCGTGTACCGGGGTGGGCTCCCCAGGATACAGTGAAGTCACGAACGAGGAAAGCAACCCCAACACCAGCTTTTGTCACAACATAATTTTACTTAGATGTGGCAAATAAGCAAAACCACAAATGCTGAGAATATACAATAAATTTACATACACTCAGCCCAAAGGCTGAGATCCTTGTGCTGCACAGCAAGGCGCCTCCTGATGGATGAAGGTAGAAGGTGTAGTAATTTACCTACTGGCGGGCACAACTAAGTTGCCACACCTTACCTGTTATTACCCTAAAAGAGCAGGAATCAGTGTATGGGTGTACGGTATGGGCTAGTCTGCGTTGCAGCACAACAGCTTGCAATCTTAAACAAATCTACAGTATTCCCCCTCCCATAACTGGTCCTGTAGCACGTGCCGGAGTATTCCTTCTGAGCAAAACGCCAGTCTGGCTTGAGTTTGTAGGATTTTATCAGCTCTCCAATGTGAAATGTCACTTTAAGTTGTGGAGTCCTTCCAATGATCAGTAACAGCACTTGTGGCCTGACACAAACAGAGACCCTAACTAACTAACTTTAGGCCTGTCTCAGTTCTATAGGCGCCAACACTGAAATGAGGTGTGTGCATGATCTTACCAACACGGGTCTGCTTTTCATCCGCTGGTGACTCTGAACAGAACAAATGTCTCTCCACTAAGCATGCGATGTCACAGTATATTTATTGCTTAGTTCCTCAGCTTCCCATCAGCTTCCTGGCAGCAATCTTCCTTTCTTTGAACAGGGTTAGCGTCTTGAACACCATCAACTTCACTCAACTGAATTTCTGATTACGGAGGGCTGTCCTCACATCTGGCTGGCATTGGATTCTCAGATCACACAGCCCCCCTTCTCTCTCTCTCAAGCATGGCTGCTCTCCTCTCCTTTTCCTGTTCACTCTCCAAGTGTAAAACCCCACCCCTTCATGAATATAGAAATCTCTATGCAGTCTGAGGCTATGTTAGAAAAAACAATGACATCTTGTGGCTAAACTGCAGAATGTCAGTCAGAACGTTTTTAATTTAATCAATCAGTGTTCAAACAATGAAAGCTGTTTCCCCATCTCACAATTGCGGTGGAAGGGATTGATGTGTGGGGGGCTGTGAAGGAGGCCTGAGGACTGTGATGTAAAGGGGGGATTGTGACATGCAGAGGGGACTGAGAACACTGATGAAAGAACAGGACTGTAATACAGAAGGAGGGAGCTGTGATGTGAAAGATCTCAGTCAACCATCAAAAATGTGATTTGGACCTTTGGAAGAAAATATATTACTGATCAGAACTCTGTGAATTTTAATAGAAAATCCCTGATCTAGAGGTTCCACAGGGGCACAGACATTGATTTAAAGAGCAGTACAGTTTCCTGCAGACATGACAAGCACAATGTTTAGTTGATATGATTTTTAGGCCCTGACTGGTTCATTCCAAACTAATGAGAGCCAAGGTAGATTCATAATTATAAGTGTGGAAATTTCTACATTTCCAAATAATTCAACATTGTATAGAGTTTTGCTATGTCATTGGGTTCAAATCCTGGTTTTCTGTTATCAGCCTTTTTAGGAAAGAAGAGACTTGACTCTAGCATTCAGCACAGCCATGTGACTGGGGTATGTATATAATGCAACGTACTGTTTACTTACTTTGTGGCCGGATCATCATAAGATGCCAAAAGTATCAATGTGCCATCTAGCATCTTCTCCAAGAACGTCTTAACGTCCTTGATATCTTAAAGAAATGACAAAGAATGTCATAACGAAAAGGTTACAGCAATTGGCACATTACAACTGCTCATCCTCATTGATCAATAGGTTTTTGATCTAAATTTTTGTCTAAACAATAAAAGACAAAACATATACTTAGGGTACAAAATTAAGCAGAGCCTTCACCTAACATAATACATGCAAAATAGAAACAATGACTTACTTCCAGAGTACATGTCATAATTGCCCGTATGTTTAAGTTCACCTGTAGAGGCTAAAACCAAATGACACAAATTAAAAAAAGCAACTTAATAAGGAAAAACATTTTATTCGGATTTTGAGAATCTTGCAAAGGGTTGGGTAGCATGCATCTGGCCTACCACTTTGTGGCTGCGTTGCTGTTGTTCCCAGCTGCTTCTACTTTGCTATAATAACATTAAGGCTGGCCATACATTATATAATTTTCTGTACAATTTCCTTTAAATTTACCTTCAACAGTGTAGTGCAAGGGCCTGCCTAATTGGGTACAACCAGGGGTGGACTGACAACTCATGGGGCCCTCGGGCAATAGGAAATCTTGGGTCCCTGTGTCCTTGCCCACACTCAAACCACACCCAAAAAAGCCTATGAAAGGTTCCAGGGGCATCTTACGGGGCCCCCTACTGACCCTGGGCCCTCGGGCAGTGCCCTGGTGCCCGAATGGTCAGTCCGCCCTTGGGTACAACTGAAAGTGTTGTTTAGGTTTGACCTCATAATATATGCTTTTTGGTAAATCTAAAGGAATATTGTACAAGAAAATTGTATAATGTATGGCCATCCTAACAGCTGACCGTGGGATATTTAGTAGCAAGGAAATGTCCCAAGTGAACTTATTTCATAAGTGGCAACCTATCACGGTACCACTCTTGAATTCACTGAGCTCCTGACAGCGACCCATTCTTTCACAAATGTTTGTGGAAGCAGTCTGCACGCCTAGGTGCTTGATTTTATACACCTGTGGCCATGGAGGTGATTGGAACACCTGAATCCAATGATTTGGAGGGGTGTACCAATACTTTTGGCAATATAGTGTATATAAATACCCTTCTTCCACCAATTAAAAATACAAAACCCACCGTCCCATAGCCAAAACAGGAAGTAAGTGGAAATTCCAACAAATCTCTTAGGGACCCCCAGGTCACCACTGAAAGATTTCTCCTCTCCTCTATATACTCATCTTGGTCATGTTCTTGTGCCATAAACACCCTAATTACTCAGGTTCCTATGCAATTCCTGTGCAACTGGAAATCACACCAAAAGTAGTACATGCACTACTTTTCAAAAACACACTGCACCGGATCACATAGTAGAGTGGTACCATGCGATTTGGTGCAGGCCAATGCACTTTGTTTGCGATCTGTGTTTGGGGTGTCATTAGGTTTATACTGAGACCCTCAGCACATTACCCACCCAGTGCATTCAATGCTGGAAACTTGCATTAAGACCTAACAGACAGCTGAAAAATACATTGAAAATAAAACATTTATTTATTTATTTATTTTTATTTATTTTTTATTTTATTGATTTTATTTCAAATTATTACAAATATCCATCAAAAAACACACATAAATATCCAAGACATTTCTACATTTCCCCCTCTAAAAACTATTTCCTCTCCCGACCCTCCCCCCCATTTCCCTAACCCCACCCCCCTCCTTCCCCTCTGCATTCTCACCCACTCTTTTCTATTAAAGCAAGAGGACATTATCTATTGTCCTAAATTATACCTTCCTATGTTTCTCTTTCAAACCAGATTTTTCCCATTTTTTTTTCCCATATCGTATAGTACACCCCCATCTTGTCTTCCTGCATATGGTAAAGTTTTTCCATCCTACCAATCTGGTTCACTCTATTAACCCAGTCTTCCTCCTTCGGCACCTCTGTTTTCTGCCAAAACTTGGGTATCAAACCTTTTGCAGCATTTAGATAGTACCATAAACCTGATTCTTTATATTTATTTACTGATAACTCGACATTATGTAAGAGACAGATCGTTGGGTCCAACCCTATGTCAATCCCAGTTATTATCTCAATCAGTTTAACTATTGACTTCCAAAAAGCTTGAATTTTCGGACATTCCCACCATATGTGAAAAACTGGGCAGAGGCCGTGGTCTGGTGGTTAGAGAGGCGTGCTACAAAGAAAATAAAACATTTAAAGCTGAACTCCAGCCATATCCCCTCTCCTGTACTGGTTGCTTACTCTGATTTCACTGCACACTGTGGGCTTTTCATGGGGTGCATTAGAGATGCAGCAAGTCATATAGAGCTCAGCTTATTTCCTGGCTAGAGGACATCCTGCATCATCTAATGCTTTCCTCCTCAGCCTTACTAGCCCTGGCCCGCCCCTTTCATTCATTGTATTACAGTATTTTCAATGGAAGTTCTTTCTTCTGGAAGCTTGGCATTTGCATAACTTTCCCTAAAAACCATCCTACTGCTTGCATCGGGGCTGAGAGAGAAGTACTGAGGCATGGTACTGAGATTGTATTCAGGGAGCAATGTACAGCACCCTGTTTACATCTTCCACTAGCCACAATCTTTCTATATTTGCATAGAGAAGTACAGAGCCCAACAATGTTCAACTTTATTTAAATTGACAGTACACATGAACACATTTAAATACACAAAAAATAAAGAATACTAAATTACATTAATCTACCTGCTTTAAATCCCCTCTCTCCAAGAAAAAAAAACACTTCTGAATTGCTGGACACTAGGCAATCTTCTGCTAAGCAGCAGCAAACTGTGAGCGCTTCTACTTCAGTATTTGTTGTGAAATCAATTTCAACAAAATCACTCAACTCATCAATTATGGAAAATAATGTACATTGTCAGTCTGCAATTTATTTTTCATTTTTCTTACCATTCACAAGTGCCATGTTTAGTCCTCTTCCAATGTTGTTTTTTACACTGCTCATTAGGCTGAAAAACACAAGAACATGTAAATGATATATATTTATAGTGTATGTACTGTATATGTCATGATGAATAATAAACACAGGACTCTGAACTATAGATATGAATACGAATTTCACAGTATGTTATAAAGAATTGTACATCCAGGCAATAACAGCGGGAGCAGCGGCATTTAATGACAGCGGGAGCAGCCGCATTGTGTGTGAACAGACATGTGCACAAACAGAAAAATACAAGACCATCTTTAACCACTTCCCCCAGGTGGACGCCCTAGGCAGTGGTGTATTTTAGGCTTTGTGATGCCCTAGGCAATGCAAAAATGGATGGTGTGCCCCCCTCTCCCATCCACAGCCAGCACCCTCTGCTCCACTCTCCCCGAATCCCCACACAGACAATGGACATAGTCAAGCTTCGACCGCTCCAAGGCAGCACTTGCCAATCAATAAACAAGGAATCAGCACATACAAATTCCCCGATTCCTAATGACAAAGGGCACTGAACAATGCTCATAATAAGGTCCAATGACATATAAAATAAACACGAATGAGTCCATATAGCACTAGAGTAAGCTCTTGTAGCTGTAGCAGGCTCTTGGTAAAGAGATAAAAAAAGAGAAAAATATAGCGCCTTCAAGTGCAGTATGTAGAACATTTATTGAGGAACACAGTAAGAAACACTCACCTGATGGAGGAGAAAAGGAAAACTTTGGCATATGTTATAAAGATGGAGGACATGACTGCATACTCGATGTGATAGCTGTAGTCAGAGTGGGGGGTGGGACTCTGGATGTTCATAAGGAGCCGGCTGGCATGTGTGAATTTTGGAAGATGATGTCCAGAGTACACCATGGAGCGTGATGTTGGCATCAGTGTGATGATATGGGGAAGTCCAGCATGCAGTGCAACGCGTTTCGAAGCAACGTGTTTCGAGGCCAATAGACGGAAAAAGTGAGCTCCCTTCTCAAGCATAAGCTGGAACGGGGGACATAACTGTGACTGCCTCTCTCTCTCTCTCTCTATATATATATATATATACATAGTTACATCCTCCGTTCCAGCTTATTCTTGAGAAAGGCGCGCGCTTCTGCCTTCTATTGGCCTTGCGCATACTCTGAAATGCGTCGCATTGCATGCTGCTGGACTTTCCCATGTCATCACACTGATGCCGACGTAGTGCTCCAGGGTGTACTCCGGATGCCATCTTCTGATACTTGGCCGTGTGTTTTGGGTCATTGTCATGCTGGAACACCCATCCACGACGCATTTGCAATGCCTTGGCTGAGGGAAGAAGGTTCTCACCCAAGATTTGATGGTACATTGCCCCGTCCATCGCCCCTTTGATGCGGTGCAGTTGTCCTGTCCCCTTAGCAGAAAAACACCCCCAAAGCAGAATGTTTCCACCACCATGTTTGACAGTTGGGATGGTGTTCTTGGGGTCATAGGCAGCATTCCTCCTACTCCAAACACAGCGAGTTGAGTTGATGCCAGAGAGCTCGATTTTGGTCTCATCTGACCACAACACTTTCAACCAGTCCTCCTCTGCATCATTCAGATGTTCAGTGGCAAACTTCAGACAGGCCTGGACATGTGCTTTCTTGAGCAGAGGAACCTTGCGGGCACTGCAGGTTTTTAAACCTTGTCAGCATAGTGTGTTATCAATTGTTTTGTTGGTGACTGTGGTCCCAGCTGCCTAGAAATCATTGACAAGATCCTCACATGTAGTTCTGGGATGATTTCTCAGTATGGTCATGAACATTGACACTCCACGAGATGAGATCTTGCATGGTGCACCAAGCCTAGGGAGACTGACAATTGCTTTGTGTTTCTTCCATTTGCGAATGATTGCACCAACTGTTGTCACCTTCTCACCAAGCTGTTTGGCAATAGTTTTGTAGTCCAGTCCAGCCTACCAGGTACCTAAGGGGTCACTTTTTATCTTTCATTGCAGGTCTCCAATTACATCACAGGTCTCCCCCCAGTGGAGAGGGAGAGAGAGCAATCTGCTAATTAGATATAATGCTCTCCCTAAGTTAAAATAGTATGGTCCAAAATCATCATTACTGATGGAAGCAGGGCTGTTGAGAGGGGTAATTTGTTGAATCAGTGTGTGTCCAATCCAACAAACTGAGCTAGTTACGCGACCCCCGGCTGGACTTTTCTGTGGAACTTTTTCTCTGGAGGACATTGACAGCGCCTGGCGGGTGCTGTGTTGTTTTAAGGACGCTTTATGGTGCGCCAGGAAGCACCTCATCCACCAGCGGGAGAGGATGTCCATTGAGGACTGCCGCAGACTGATCCTAAGTCTGCTCAGGGACTATACCTTGATGGACTTTAAGGAGGAAGAGGACGTCTGAAGATCTCCCCTTCCCCCTACTCCCCCTTGCGTGTCTTTGTCCCTTCAATAAAGCTTTGGGCCTGTGACCCCTTTTTTCATTGTGTGACCCATCATTTGTTAGACATGCATTTCTTTTGAATTTTTTGTTGCTATTCTGTCTCTCAGTGTTACAATACACCTACCATTCGATTTTTAGACTGATCATTTCTTTGTGAGTGGGCAAACATTCAAAATCAGCAGGGGATCAAATACTTATTTTTTTCACTGTATAAATGCAATATATGACACGATTCTTTGGAGAAATAAATAGATGAAGTTGCACTGAGTAAATAGATTTCACAAGCGTCAAGTCTTAAAATTCCCTGTGCCCGTGAAACAACAGATTTTGGTGCGCTATAAGTTCCATAGGCTACGCACTTAGAGCCCCTACAAGTCATCAGATTAGAGTTAAAGTGACTAAAGGCAGTTTTTGTTTTTTTTTTAAATAACAAACATGTGATACTTACCTCCTCTGTGCAATGCTTTTGCACAGGGCAGCCCAAATCTTTCTCTTTTCAGGTTCACTACCAGTGCTCCTAGCCCCTCCCTCCTGCCAAGTGCCCCCACAGTAAGCAGCTTGCTATTGGGCATCCTAGCAGGCTCACTCCTGAGACGCTGCTCAGCACGGTGCAGCTCTGCCCCCTGATCTCTCCTCATTGGCTCACAGGCTGTGATTGACAGTAGCGCGAGCTGTTTCAGCCAATGCGGAGCGTGAAACCCGGGACAGCTGAAGTTCTCATGCACATCGATGGATTGAGATAAAGCTGAGGTAAGTATCTGGGGCCACTGCTGCACACAGAATGTTTTTTACTTTCATGCATAGAATGCATGAAGGTAAAAAAAACTTGAGTTTTTGCAACTACTTTAACTGAAAATAATGGGCCGAGAATTATTGGTCCCATTCTGGCGTGCAATTTGTAACATAGTAGCGCAATCTAAATTTTCATGCGTAGGTGCACCCAGTGTATACATTTATGGTTGTCCATGCATGTATGTGAGGGTGGGGGGTCTCAAAATTTTTTGAGGAGAGATTTTAAGTGTTTGGGTGGAATTTTAATTTTTTACTAGTTCCCCAGCTTCTGGGTCAGTAACAGAAAGTGGAGGCCAGCAAACAGGCTTTCACTGGTCTCCCTCCCTCTACCCAGCGACACCTGCCATGCTGATTCAAGGTCTGCCGATGAGAACGCAGAGCCTGGGAAACATGGCGAGCATGCAGGGTGGGGGGAGTTGGTCAGCCATTACCAGGGTATGTGAATGCAATCTGGCAGCTGCAGAACCTCCAGATCTCTTCCATCCAACAGCCAAGAGTTGGCTTCCCAGATTTACTCACACTCCTAGTGGCTGCAGCTGCAAGAAGTGCATGTAAAACCCCCCACTGCCACCGACGTACGCTGGTGGCAGTAAAAGGGTTAAAGCTGAACTCCAGGAAATTTTTAAATTCTCCCCTGCAGCATGGCTGTCCCCAAACTGCAAGGGTTAACTGCTCATATGGGTTCAGGGAGCAATGAAGAGTATATTTTGATACCCAATCACCAGCATCTGCAGGCTCCTCTGTGCAGCTAGACTGGTTCCAGCAACTTCTTCTCCCCTGTGCTCTTGTGGTTCTGACATAATCAAGACCAATGCAGTTTCCATAGTCCTACATGGATGTGAGGACACCGAGGGACAGTCCACTTCCACAGCATGGGGGCACTCTGTCTGGCTGGGGGAGTAGAGGAACAGGTAAGCATAATTGCTTCTCTTATCCCCTAGACCAGTGGTCTCCAAAACTGTGGCCCGAAGGCCAGATGCAGCCCTTTGTTTGCTTTTATGTGGCCCTTGCGGCACTATTTCATCCTCTGATACCAACGATTTGGCATAAATCCCTCCACTGATGCCAATGATGGGGCACAATTCCTCCCAATGACACCAATGATGGGGCACAATTTCTCCCAATGACACCAACAATGGGGCCCACTGACACCAATGATGGGGCATAATTCCCCCTACTGACACAAATGATGGGACACTGTTCCTCCATATAACACCAATTATGGGGCACAATTCCTCCCAATGATGCCAACGATGGGTCACAATTTCTCCCAATTTCACCAACAATGGGGCACAATGACACCGCTGATGGGGCACAATTCCTCTCACTGACACCAACGATGTGGCACAATTCCTCTCACTGACACCAAAGATGGTGCATTGTTTTTTCTCCACTGACACCGAGACCAGGGGCGGACTGACCATTTGGAAACTCGGGCACTGCCCGAGGGCCCATGGTCAGTAAGGGGCCCCATGAGATGCCCCTGGTACCTTTTTTATAGGCTTTTTTGAGTTTGGGCAAGGACACAGGGGCCCCATGATCCCCTATTGCCCGGGGGCCCCATGAGTTGTCAGTCCGCCCTTGCTGAGACCTTTTCTACTCTCAAAGGTCACAGTCTGGCCCTCCTAAAGCCTGAAGGACAGTAAACTGGCCCTTTGTCTAGAAAGTTTGGAGACCCCCTGTCCTAGACTAAGAGAGTTCAGCTTTAATGTATAGATGGGGTAGGAATTTCTACGCGCCTTGATTTGTGCAGCCGGGTGGTACACATTAGGATGCTGCATGAAAACTATCCGGTTTGATTAATCTGAAGCATTACAGCTAA